GCTCTAAGCAACAAGTCTTCCAGTCTACAAGCCCACTCAGTCACATTTTCCTTGGGTTGCTGATGTGCGGCATAGAAATTCTCCAACAGGGTCTCCTGGTCATCTACTATACCATACAGACTTCTAAGTTTGACGATCAACTGTGCGGGTGTCGCATTAGCTCCTAACCGCATAGCTACTCTGGCTGCAGTTCCCTTCAGAGATCTTCGGATAGACTGCCCAATGACATCCTGTGACTTACCTGTGTCAATCAGACATTGCACTTCGTATTTCCATAAATCGAAAGTAGCCTCACCCTTTCCTTGATCTCCAGAAAATAACGGTAACTTGTAAAATCTCGTGTCCAGAGTGCCTGTGGTAGAACCAATACCCTGAGAAACAACATTTCCACTTACCCCTTGTCCAACCATCGACGGATTAGCAGTGTCCAATCCTCCTGTTGAATTAAGAAAATCCATCATCTGACTCCTTAACTTAACTTAACTTTCACCTTTAGGTCTAGCACCCATTTGAGAAAACAACTTAGACACATGCTCTACAGAGTCCGCTTCCTCTTGTGGAAGTATCGCTTCCGCCTGCGATAGTTTTTCTTTAGAATCGGCCATCGCGAAACCTGTATCACAATAAACACAACAAAACACAAATAAAATATTCAAGCAAACCAACAAAGTTCATCTATGTGTTCTCACCAAACACAGAACAAGTATTTTACTCTCGTTCTCATAGATATACACACTTACAAATCAAATAAAACCAGCCAACTCTGCCACATCTACCGTCAATGAATTAAATGACTTACCTGAAATAGAACTATGTAAATCCTAAGAAGAATGATATTCGGTCGCGTTCAGCCAAAATACACGCGAATAAGTCAACGAAAAAATCAATCCGATTAGCGATAAATAGCATCTAACGCACCATCATCCATCCAACATAAATACAGAAAGATCCACATAGCACGTGTAACAAAGAACAACATCAACTGCGACCAAGCATGTACCCACAAAATAACTCTATTCCACTTGAATTTTTTTTACTGAAGTAATCCTACATGTTAACTTTCGAAACAGAAGAAAAAATGAAAACAAAAATCTAAGTAAATTTATCAATTATCGATGACAACAGAAATTTAACACTATAAGACAACTTAAGCCAAAATTAAGTAAAAAAAACCAGCCAATTTCAAAAGAAATAAATTCCAAAAAAAACACCACGAAGTCAAATTAATTACAAGTGATTCCTCTGAAGCAAAGTATATTTCCGACAACCACGTATAAATTAATTTAAAGACACGAGAACAAAAAAAATACACAATTTGTATTCACAAAAACATTTTGAAAAATCCAAGAAACGTCAATTTGTACTAAACAAAATCAAAAATGAAAGCTCAATATGAAAACAATCAAGATAATCAAAGTTGAAGAGAAGGGAAAAAAATAAATTCAATCAAAGCATTTCAATAAATCATGAGTGAAATCAAAATTCAATTCAAACTAGAAATATATTGAAAAGAAACAAAAAATTTGAATAACTGAAAAATACAATTAAATAATTCAATTACTTTCTACTACAATAACTCAATACAAATATAAATGTTTGCTGATAACAGATATTAAATAATACTGGATTTTTTCTAAAATGTCACCGGAAGTTGACAGCGTACCGGAAGTACGAAAATACAGGAAGTTAAATTCGACCGGAAGTTAAAGTTATACCGGAAGTACCATTGATTACCGGAAGTTCACAATATTTACCGGAAATGCAAAGGAAATACCGGAAGTACAAAATATAATACCGGAAGTTCACAATATTTACCGGAAATGCAAAGAAAAATACCGGAAGTACAAAAGATAATACCGAACGAAGTTATTAGACAAATACACACACAAAAAATATCAGAACAATTATGAAATGAATAAGATAAATCAAGTTTCACCATTAAGAGTTCGTGTTTCACGAAAGAAAATACAAGATATATAGTAAAATGGGTGGAAAGTCAATGGTACACAAATGTCATTTACTGTGTACGGTCAGCAAAGGTCCAGTTCTTCTCCGGGTCCAATAACATAAAGAATCAACTGCGCACATTGCAGTCGCGTGATACACAAAACACTCGTTGATCAAGGTCGTCCGAAGGTCGTTCGAGCGTACGTGCGTGCCTCTCTGGTATACATCCTGCATTCACATACAGACGAAATCCATCCCGTCATCAGGTGGAATAGGTCACTCAGGTGAATTTTCCAGTCCGGTCTACATTTACGGTCGGTAGATATCCATCCCGTCAAGCGTGTCGGCAGGGACACTAGGCCATCAACGATACGTGGGCGCCAATGTAATAGTCGTCTTTTATCGTGGATATACGACAACTCCTGGGTTCTTTTCTCAGTTAATTTATTACGTAAGTAAAAACCCTGTAACATGAAATACATCATATTACTACACATATAACATTTATACAATCACATAAGCTAAGACATGTCAAACAACTACCTGGTCGTAGCCAGTTACATAAGTTACATTAGTGGAATACGTATTACAACTGTTACATTCAATCTATATATTATATAGAAATACAGCATAACTACAAATATATTAAAATATCCACCTCTTCAATGTGAAGAGGGTTTTCTCGGACAAAGTCCGCTGAGTCCTCAGTCTTACTCGTTCAATGTAAGCTATAAAAGGAAACAATATATATTAAAAACTTGCTTCTTCGAAATCACTTGTCTACTAAATTGACCACGCCCGATTTCTAAATTTACAAAGACTTTCAAAATATTAACTTTACTTTTAACAAAAATATTACGTTAATTAAATATATTATTGAATAGATACTATAATGAATTAGACTTATATTTATACACGAGTACTTACGTTATTTGCTTTTGGCTCTATTGCCCGCTACCTCTTTTAATTTCTATGCTGGCTAGGTAAAGATATAGGTGTACAAGATGTTCGCTGTGCTCGCTCTGGCCGCTCTGTTCAAAGTGACCAGTGCACCAGGTAAATTACCCTACATTCAACACTAGGTATTCTATACATAGACAATACGTACTGGACAAACAGGTTTACAACACATTACATCACATTCGCTCAGTACCTTACTCGCATTTACGCGTGCTATTTCCGCGCGCGCGCTAAAAGTTTTGCCGCAATGCGTGACGTTCAAAATTACACGGAAGGCTGATTTCCGTTACATACGAACGCGTATAGCTAAATACCACAAATATATTAAAAGTAATAATGACAAATAATGACACTACTACATATATATATATATATTATATGTCTTTTCGGTATCAAAATAAAAGGTTAGAATTTAAACCATTAGATTCAATTATAATAAAATTGAGTATTAGTAGTTGTTTCCCTCAATTTGATTATTAATTTGATAATACCAACTTGTTTATTTACTTATATTTACGTTTTCTCTGCCTCTTATGTTCTTTTTTAACTTATAATTCATAATTAAAATTAAAAATGCCCGCCTTATCGACAGTCCACACAATTTCGTTCAATAGTTTGAACAGCATATTGTCGCGTGCTGATTGGCAAACAAAGTAGTACTTTGACATTTTAACAAACACTTCAAATTTATTCCACAATTTAGTATCAATACAATTGCGTATGATATGTCTATAGGGTGATTCGAGTTTTTCAATAGAAATCTGAGCTGAAAGTAAGATTTGAAATTGTTTCGATTTACCCCCGGAACAAATTTCGCGCATGAATAAATACAGTGAACACCGTGAATGAGACCTTGACCTCCACGAGGGAGTTATTTTTAGAAGTTAATTCGAACTTTTCTCGTTGCTCATTTTGTGAAGAATCAACGCGTGAATGTATTTGTTTATTGTATGGGAACCCGACAACAGTAGGTAGATTCTATAACAGCATCGTTATTTGACATGTCGTCTGAAACTGTGGATCCGAGACGCGTGAAACTGATAGCGTTTGAAGTGAGTGATCTTGCGAAGGAGCACAGGTTCGTTACAAATGTCTGAAATGACGAATGTTTATGTGTGCTGTGACTCATATCAGTAGGTCTGTAACATATGTGTCAGTAGGTCTATAGAATATGTGTATTTCAGACATTTATAACGAACCCCTGTTGATCAGTGCAGTGTAACAGACGATATTTCTGATAAATTGCATGAGTGTTAAAAGTGTTTCCATTGCCGGCATTGGTGATGTCAACTGATGTGCATTTTGTACGATATTGCAGACCTTGGTCTGGTTTTCGTTGTAATAAAAGTGTTTTTTATCTTATTTTTTATTTTGCACATAAATTTACAATGACATTATCAAATCTCACAATGCCCAGCGATATTTCAGCAGCCGTAATGTTTATTTACATTGGATATTGTAGTTCCGGTCAGTGTTGTAATTAATACGCTAAGAATTGTGTCTCGTGCGACATGGTAATTAAAGTCCCATCAACGACACAGCTTTCAAAGAGGCTATATAGTGACAATGCCATGCAAATGTAAATATATGTGTTTGTATGTGTTCTAATGTCTATGTCTTTGCTTGTACCACTATTTGTTACTATGTTTGGAGAGGGCTTAAATAGACTATGCCTGCTGCCCAATTCATTTGTCCTTTGACAATAAAATTTATTGAAATTGAAATAAGAACAATACTATATGACATCACAATCACCTGCTATGAATGGGACAAGGTATATATATTTCAGGATAAAGCTATATAAATGCTGAAATAGCTGTTTTCAATTTAGGATTAAAATGATGGGAGAAAAATAATCATCTGCTATCGTGAAATTATAACAAAAATCTCTAAACCTTCTAGGTGATTGATTTTTTGGTTGTCTAACCCTCAGCAGAGCTTCGGGTGGAACAACCAAAACACCATCTTTCAGGTTAGAAATTACTGTAAAATATATACGATATTAAAAAAGGTATGCTGTCAGTATTAATAACAAATTATCTTAAGCAAATAGAGTTAATTCTCATAATGATGAAATCGTGTTTATTTTTCAGAACTGGGATATAAATGGCTGTAAACTGAAACTTAGCCGACGTCCAACTAGGGACAAAACCAAAATCACTACAAAGCCTCAGAAACAACAAGAAAGAGAAGAAGCAGTTGATAGAGGGATTTATCATTCGGTCGTACCATTCCGGTCTTACTCTGATTACCAGAGAAAAAGACCAGCATTTTGGCAGGATGTGCCTCATCACAATTCACAGATGGTCAAATCAAACAGACACAGGAAAAAGCAACACCATTTCTGGAGACACACTGTTCCAATCCAAACATGTAAGGTTCAATCGAGAAAGATAAAACGCCGACGAAAGAAGCGAAAACATTCCAAGGTTGGTAAATTATTTACATTTTATGAAAAGCTATGATATTATAGCAACTTGGTCTGTCAACAAGATGAGTTCATGTATATAGTGTGACTGTATTGTTATCAAGTCACCCTTAACAAATTTGTACAATGCTCAATCTTGTTTATTGATACAACCGGTGTGTAAATAAGAGTATACGTTAAACATAACTTAAACTGAAATTTGTACCTTCTTAAATTTCACCCTGTTGGAAATGAAGTTTAATTTTGAAAAGGTAGCATAACTCGTAAACATGTACATTTAATGTGTAGCATTTAAAATTTCCCAGAAGGATCCTATTTCCATGGTAAACAAATATCAAGGTCGTCGGCCCTATCGTGCATTAGCCATGAAAGGTGTGACACAATACGCACAGTAAATAAGTGGGTCTGTGTACATGATATACTAAGGTAGGTAAGAGGTGCAAAAGAATTGGACGATCCTAAACCTGAGCTCACTCTTATTTTCAAAGTATGGAATGAAGTGTAGTGGGGGCGATAATTCTGTTATTGTTCCTCGGAACGAAATGATAACACGGCTAAATGCATCTAATTTGCCGCATATATCAGCGATTTGAGTACGAAAAAACCCGGCTCCATAACTTTTGCTGAAACTTTCCATGTTTGTAGAACTCAGTGTGTACCTCCTTGTAAATCTGTTATACCCGGGGAAAATCTAGTTATGTTGATATTTGGGGTCAAGCACGCCAAAATCGGCATTTTGACCACTAGTTTCTGTATAATTCACCCTGTAGAATTAACGCTTAAAGCTGACGACACGAAACTCCACACATAAGTAGTCCCAGTTATTCGAAAGAAAACGGTATATTTGGTTTCGATATCTTTTACAAAACGGCCTCAAGATGGTTTCAAAAATTAGGTGTATTTCTGAGGTTTCGTGGAATTTTCCAGAAGATCCGATTTCTACGGTTCTCCTTAAAAGCGTCTTCAACCGACAACAAGCATCTTCATGTGACAACAAGCGTCGCCAGACAAAATCTTTAAAATAACTGAATAAAGTAAGCGACATCAGAAGATATGTTGTTAATATGACTATAATACATCTTTATACCAAATTTCAGTTTGATATTTGAAAAATTGACCGAGTAATGATGAATTGAATTTTACGATCTGCGGCGTGGCACGTGTGCGTATTAACCTGCACAGTTAGAAAGCGCCGCCAGACAATATCTTTAAACATTCTTACTAAAGTAAACGACATCAGAGTATTGATACTGTTGAATGGTTTAAAGTACCTAAACCCTGAATTCGATCGGTACTTCATAAGTTTGAAACTTGATCATGTGATTCATTGATTTGCAATTGTTGCTTTTCAATTTGTTTTTGTAAAACACCCCGCGCCTGACCAATATGTCTTTACGTGTTCTTTACGACTCATTAATCTTTTGCGAGATAGTAATGAATTTATTAAAAAGCAATTCAATAAACTTTTCATGTGTTATTTTGTCATAGAATATGCATTAACTGATCTTTTCTGAAATTGTTTAAATATAAAGTAATATAGACGTCTCATTGTGAACGTAATTGATCATGTCAGTGAAGCATTGTTTATACAGCAATATGATCCGGGCTGGCCGTGTTCAGCTATACGATCGAAGTCCTACGTACATGTAGACATATATATATGAAATTTGGTATAAAAGTGTGTTATAGTCATATGAATAACATATCGTCTATATAAATGAGTCATTATCAGAAATTGTCAATTGTTTGGAACCCATGACCCTAGGTTCCGGAGGCCAACGATCTACCACTGAGCTAAAAGGGACATGTCCTATCAGCTGACATATACTTCCCAGATCTTTCACAATACTTTTGCATTACCATGTAGTTCAAGTTACCGTTGTTACAAAATTATTTCTTTTTCATTTGGCAACATCGATAACATCAGTTGTTACATAACTCAGGTGACCGTTAAGGTCCACGGGTCTCTTGTCATGATATGTTGTTGTGTTTCCCTGAACAGAATTTTGATTTGAAAATTTTTGCAAAAGTAATTGCCCTTTGTTTAATTCAGTATTTGATTTTTGTCCGGATATTTCCTCCTTCTTTTTTTCGACCGATTTCTTTGAAACTTGGAAATCGTTATAGTCATGATATATAGTTATGTTTTCAAAAAAGAATTGATTCGACTATTTTTGCAGAAGTTATTGCCCTTTGTTAATTTCAGTATTTTATTTTTGTCCGTCGATCTCCTCCTACATTTTCGACCGATCTCTTCACAGCTTGATATACATTATAATCATGCTATGAAGTTGTATTTCCATGAAAAAAAATTTGATTCACCGATTTTTGCAAAAGTTATTTCAATTTGTTTATTTCAGTATTTGGTGTTTTGTCCAGAGATCTTCTCCTACCTTTTTTGATCGATTATTTTGAAACTTGTTAGGCATAAGTATCATGATATGTTGTTGTGTTTCCCTAAATTGAATCTTAATTTGACAATTTTTGCAAAAGTAATTGCCCTTTGTTTTTTTCAGTATTTGATTTTTGTCCGGATATTTCCTTCTCCTTTTTTCGACTGATTTCTTTGAAACTTGGAAATCGTTATAGTCATGATATATAGTTATGTTTTCAAAAAAGAATTGACTCGACTATTTTTACAGAAGTTATTGCCCTTTGTTTATTTCTAGTACTTGAATCTTGTCCGGAGATCTCCTTCTACAGTTTTTTATTGATTTCTTTGAAACTTGGTAGGCTTTAATGAGTTGGAGACTAATCTTTTAATAACTTGTTTTCCTCAAACTGTTAGAAAATTAAAGAAAATCGAACTGACTTTGTAGTGAAAGGTGAGATTTATAGCATGTAAGCTAGCCACTCTTAAGGTGATGCAAATCTTATTTTAATGCAAGATATTATTTAACACTATATGGCATTCGACGGGCGTATATTGTTCCGCCCTGCGGTACTCTCGTTAGCTCACCTGGCCATGGTCCGAAGGTTATTTTTTTCCATTTCTTTTTCTTTGCCTTAACGGCAGCATCATGTCAGACATATTTTGCAAAGGGAAATGCCCTTGACCCTTATTCAAGGTCACAGGGGTCAATTTTGTTAAAACACTCGAACAATTTATTCAAAGTCATGTTGAATAGCTGTGTTAGCCTTGTTTAAACAGAGTTATTGCCCTCTACACTTCATTCCATCTGTGATATCCCTTCAGGTGTCACCCCAATAGTATATTGGGATATAGTTGTAGTGAATTATTTCGACTGTATTTAGCCAAGGCACTAACCTATATATTATTAAGAATCCTGTTGCACATACTTTTACACGCTTTTCTTAATACACTAAACAGTTTATCTTCATTGTTTTTTCATTACATAATAATTTGAGAGTAAAACTGATACGGATGAACCAATTTGTTTATGAACATGTTCACGGATATGTGATGTTGTCCATTTTCAGCGAATCATTTGCATTATGTTGTTGAAGTTCCTGTTCATAATTCATTAATTAAATTTTATGTCATTCAAAATGTGAACAGAAACTTTCATGTTTTGAATTACTTAATTATCAGTTTATATGCCTAGATTGATGTTTACGTCTTGATAAATTATTCGCTTGTTTTATCAAATGCTTTCCTTAATCTGATATCGATGTTTATTGAACACTGAACAATTGTTTTCTATATAACATGATACATATTTTTAAAACTACATCAATTAAATCTTCGATGGTATTAACATTTGGTATTCTAGTCTGTTGGTAGCTTTATTTGTAACAGTTTCAGATAAACATTTAGATAAAGACTCTAGAGTATTGGTTGCTTTATTTATAACTTAGTTTTATAACAGTTTCAGATAAACATTTAGATAAAGACTTTAGAGTATTGGTAGCTATATGTATAACTTAGTTTAATAACAATTTCAGATAAACATTTAGATAAAGACTCAAGAGTATTGGCAGCTTTATTTATAACTTAGTTTTATAACAGTTTCAGATAAACATTTAGATAAAGACTCTAGAGTATTGGCAGCTTGATTTATAATTTAGTTTTATAAGAGTTTCAGATAAACATTTAGATAAAGACTTTAGAGTATTGGCAGCTTTATTTTTAACTTAGTTTTATAACAGTTTCAGATAAACATTTAGATAAAGACTTTAGAGTATTGGTAGCTTTATTTAAAACTTAGTTTTATAACAGTTTCAGATAAACATTTAGATAAAGTCTTTAGAGTATTGGTAGCTATATGTATAACTTAGTTTAATAACAATTTCAGATAAACATTTAGATAAAGACTCTAGAGTATTGGCAGCTTGATTTATAATTTAGTTTTATAAGAGTTTCAGATAAACATTTAGATAAAGACTCTAGAGTATTGGCAGCTTTATTTATAACTTAGTTTTATAAGAGTTTCAGATAAACATTTAGATAAAGACTCAAGAGTATTAGCAGCTTTATTTTTAACTTAGTTTTATAACAGTTTCAGATAAACTTTTAGATAAAGACTTTAGAGTATTGGTAGCTATATGTATAACTTAGTTTTATAACAGTTTCTGATTAACATTAAAATTAAGACTCTATAGTATCGGTAGCTTTTTTTACAAGCAAGTTTACAACAGCTTCAGGATAGCATTTATTATAGTGGATAGCGATAAAGGAATTCATTCAATTTAATCATTCAAAATATTTACTATTTTAAGCTTTACAGAAACTCCAACATCACAACTAAGTCAACTCGTTGGTTTTTCCACTTCTGAGTCAACTCGTTAGTTTTTCCACTTCTGAGTCATCACAAAGATATATTTGTAGATTCGGACTTGCTAAGCTGGAAACTCTGCAAACATACATATGAATATCATTACGCCTATGACCAAATGTCTACTTTGTAACCTTTAGGACGCATATGTAGGAATCTTTCTCTTAATTATTTCGTATTTCAACTTGAATATTCCTAAATTATCATATCGTATGTGCAATTATTGAAATTAGTAGGCAAGAGCCGTATAAGTGACCTTTGACCCGCTGAATTATATCAGTTACATAAATATTATGTGAGGGACTAACGTGTATTTGTTTATTGCAGGTGACTGCAATACCAGATTGGACATGTATAGAACCCTGCCACACATTGACAAGTAATAGAGAATTTGGATCCTGTACACTACCGATTGAGGTTAGCCACAAAAAATATTCACAAACATCCCAAACAAGTGTCCATGAAGTTATAACAAACAATAAAGAACACGACGATCAATGCTTAGAATCAACGAAATTTAATCAGATGAGCATTGTTAAAACCACAAACAATGCAACACCTTCTCATTCAAATGATAGGCACATCCCAGTAAGTGTTCGTTCCAATGGAAAGAAATACATTATCCCTGTAGACACATTGCGTCCATTACAGAGTGTTACGGAAGGCATTAAACAAATAGAGAGAATACCGCCGCGAAACCAACTTTTGTTTTACCAAGGTCATGTACTGAATGACAACGTAGCTCTTCAGCAGTTACAGCCTCATGATCACGTGGAAATAATTGTGAAGGCTAAAGGTGGAATGCTTAACGAAGGTGTCGATACCACAGGTAAGATATTTATTCATCTATAATGTATTCTCTATTTAGGCTCTTACAGTCAAGTCCTCAATTTTTACGCTGCTCCTATGTCATACTAGTTTCAGCTTAATCCATAAAAAATGTGATATTCTGCAAACTTCTTAAACACCCTAAATATATTTGTACCTTTCAACATACACTGTATCTGGTCTAGTTGGATATTCCAACTGAAAATTAAAGCCGTAATGTTTTCTGAAAATTAAAACAAGCACACGACTGTTTACTTTGAAGTTATAGCGTGATAGCAAAATCAAGATTACCGAAGAAATGTTGTCTGAGTTGAAATACATAGCCCTTCTATTACTTTAGATTGCAAAGATTGGAGTTGTTTTCTATTACTTTATTTATCACCAAAATCGGTCCTAAAAAAGATACAATGGATACCCCTGCGTTTATGATCTAAAATTCAAAATATTTCTACCTTCTCTTTGCATGTGTCTGAAATCAGAACATTCAATTAAAAATGTTCCACTGTAAATGGAGTGTCACCAGCGTGGCATGAAGGTGGATCTACAAAACCCTGAACATAAAGCAGCCCATCAGTGATGTGGATACAGTCTAAGTTTGTCCTGTTGGTGATATTTGAGCTATACAATGACAATGTCAATAGTTTAAATCAACTTTTAAAAATTATATCGGATTTAAAATAAGCGGCTGTTTTTTCTCCTCAAATTTAACCAGGAGCATATACACCTTGTTGATATGTTTTTGCTGGTTCGTTACATTCAACCATATACTAATTTTGTGATTGGTTATTACTCATCACTATCGCAACCATTTCAAAATCTTCGATGAGAACTGCTATGTGACACTGGTTTGGATGTATGCGTATAGCCTATTTTGTTGTAGGATATATGTAGTCAATTTTCATTCTGGTTCATTTTTAAGGAAACTGATAATAATCTAAACAGTTAAGGAAATATAAAAATCGACTGTAGAATTATCATGTGGTTTTGGAATTGTATATTTGATTTTATAAAATGGGAAAATCCTGTCTGTCTGTCTGTCTGTCTGTCTTTCTATCTCTCTGTCTCATGATTTCTTTTTCTTGTTTACACAGCTGAGAGTGGCCCTGAACCTACTACAAATAGCACAGAGGACGAAGTAACGAAATGGCTAAAGGATGTAGTGAGGATACAAGAGGAGACATTGACTAAATGCTGTGAGGTTGACGGCGAAATGTTATTTCGTTATAATCGAAATGAATACAAGACATTTGCTGACGACTTTGATATCACTATTGGACAGGCCCTCCGAATTTTAGTTGTTCGAGATGGCAGTTGTTACAAGCATGCGGACACAAAAGTAGCTGGATGGACCAAAGAAAACGTTTCTTCTTTCATGATGGAGATTCTTAAAAGTAAAGAATCTGCAGAAAGAGTATGCCAATTTGTTAAAAAGAATATGATAGATGGACTTGTTCTGTGTCAATACGATGGTGACCTGGATATTTATCGAGATTTTCCAGACATAGGTATACAAAAAGGAATCATTAAAAAAATATTTACAAAACTTGGCAATTTACTGGCAGAAAGCAGATTGGATGAAAAATACGTTTCATGTATTTCTGCAAGTCAAACTGTTAATCCTAGAGAAGTGTTTCAAAACAAGAATGTGAAAGAAATGCAATCATCCGATGTTATTACTCTTTCATCCCGTGAGCTATCCCCAAGAACGCATGATAATACATCAGCAGGAAACGTAGCACCAGATATTAAAACGGACGTAACAACGATTAATACTGAAGACGTATCTATTTCTACTTGTACAACTGGAGACACGTTCGAGCGACCGTTTGTCTCTAAAGAAAAGTCCACAGTTAAAAGAGAAAGCGATTTTATTCACGTTCTGGACGCTCCAACAAATAAGAACACAATAAATGATCCAACATTAACACAAATTGATGCAGACACAAAGCAAACTTCAATAGCAGGGAAAGCTAAACGAAATATCTTATCAGGAACAACTTCATCAGCAACAGGGGATCAGTGCACTAGTGAAAGCGAAAATCCTGTCAGTGTGATGGTTGGAACGATAAACACTAACACAAGGGAATATTTCACCTTTATTGAAAAGACTTTACATCTCAGCAGCTGTAGACCTAGTGCCATTAAGCCGTGTTGTCCGCTCAACCTTCATGTGTTTTCATACAATTCATCGCGACTAAACGAACTTCAGAAACAACTGCTCTTCTTCGTATTACTCAGAGAAAAAGATCTCCCGACAGGGGAATCACAGAAAATATTTTGGCATAAAATAGCAAAGGAACCAATGCTATGGCTGAACCGTGTGCTTACTCCAACTGAAAAAAATATGATCAAACCAACAAAATCTGAAGGGAAGTTGAAAATCAACGGAAAGGAGTGTTCGCTTATTGGATTACAAGTAACAATGCAACGTGTTATGGATAAAGGATTGCAAACCTTACTGAGCTTCAATAATCATATTCTCCTAGTGCATCGCCATGCGCTCGAAAAGGACACAATAGGGTACGTGGTAAAGTTGCAATCACATAGGGGAAAATCAACAGTAACATATAATTTTACATTCTTTCATGAGAAAAAATATATTTTATTCGACTTGGAAGACTTTTCCTACGGCTTTACGGATTTAGAGATTGATTCTTGCAAACAAGGAACATTGCAGCCTTGGGAGGGATCTGTTTCCCTTCCACCTGAAGACGTACAAAATGTACATGTTTCTATAAAACACGGTTCAGAAATGAAATCTAATATCTCGGTATCATCAAATAATGTTCAAACTAAGATACCATTCGAATCAGAAATTAAACAGCAACGAAACGATTCTAATGTGCTAGTTTTGTCAGATTTTCAAAATGAAAGGTTCATCGATTTGTCAAACACAAGTGATAAACAAAATATGAAAAATGAAGCGATGCCAATGCACGAATTTGAGCATTTAACTGCATCAAATTTATCCGAGCAAAATCGGTATTTTGGAAAAAGTTCGTCCAATCTCGTGTATCGAGAAGGTAGAACGCTTGTTGAACTTGAAAATAATGACTCATTATCCGGCCGTTGTATTAGTTATCAGCATTTCAATAAAGAATTTAATCCACAAAACGATCCATTGATGTCAGACATTATCTTCAGGACCCTAAAATTTGCATGTGCCTGCTTGAATTCTAGGCGAAACGGAACAATTTATTTCGGGGTAGGAACAGAGGATGGTGTCAGGCGTAATGAAGTGATTGGAATTATTTTGAATTTCGAACAAGATCGGCAAATTATAGCGGATCATCTTCGGTGTTGCATCAACAAATACTTTCTCGATCCACTTTCAAATGTCACAAACCAGTGTATCAGTCCTCCACATTTCATTCAAGTCGTGCAAAATGAGGCTTCTGTTGCAAGGTTTGTAATGGAATTCGATATAGAACCAAAGTCTTCTGTGTGCAAAGACATGTTCTTCAAGATGTCATGGCCTGTTATACACGAAAAAAATGTCAAAGGCAGATGTGCATATGGATTTGTGTTTGATGGATTAGAAACAAAACAAATATCAGGAAATGATGAGAAACTATTTATTCTCACCGATCTAAAAGAGAAAATAATGGAAAGACAACAAAAAGAAGAATTCAAAAGTATCAAAAATGAAATGTCCGAATCGGCATTTTCAAAATTACAAAGACGTCTTCTTGGCGGACAGGACAAAATAATACCATCTGTTTGGTACAGTTTAGTTTTGACGTGTCCTACTGTTCAGCAGAAAATGGATAATGATTGGAAAAATTGTTTTAATTTCATCAAAAGAATGCCAATAACTGCAGTTTTTGATTTTGACGACGAATCGAACGTCAACGGTCTCTGTTGTCATCTTCGAAATTGCGAAAAAACGCAACTACAAAGTTGGTTAATTTTCGAACAAAATCCCGGTAGCTATGAGAAGTTACAAAGTATTCTAAAAGTTCCTTATTCTGACGAGAACATATGGGTGTTTTGTAACGGACGAATTATTGACTCTAATAACAAATACCCGCATTTGAAACGTGACGAATGGATGCTTGAATATTCGACAGGGATAAGTCAGGCCGTTCATTTTCTTAAATCATCAATACCCAAGAAAAGACTCTATGTAATGATTCTTCTCTTATCTAACGACCTTGAAGGTGTTATTGACACCTTTGTTGATTTTATTGGTAGATTTGGATGGGAATATGTCGTATTGATAGCAGAAGAGGAAAAGATATTTGATGAGTTTTGCAAAGCTATACTTTTGGAACGGAAAGGTACTAGACAGCAGCTGGAGGAAATAAGTTTGGTTGGATTACCATGGGAGCAAGGTAATGCAGCCATGAATGAAATTTCAGGCCACAACGAATACGGTAGCTGCTACATTCCTGCATCTAGTGGTGGTACAATTCCACTCGAGGAAAAGTTCCTGGAATCTCTTACTGATTTGGAAATCCTTAGTGCAACGCAATGTGAGAACAAGGAATTTAAAGATGATAAAAAAAGAAGAGCATTTGCACACAATAAGGAAATAGAATTTTATAGGGGAAACAAGGTGACGTGGTGGAATTACTTTTTCAATACCCATGTTCTTAAAAGAAATTGTTTTCAAGAACTTCATGATAATATTAACAGCCTTCTTTGTGTAAAACAGCCTGATAACAAAGTTGCAACTGTAATGATTACATATGAGCCAGGTGCAGGTGGAAGTACCCTTGGACGCCATCTGTTATGGGCATTTCGGAAAAAATTCCGATGTGCTGTTGTCAAAAAAATCACCGATAGAACCCATTCGAACATTATGTTTTTACATCAATACAAAGAGGATACCTCCAACGCTAAACCAGTAATTCTATTGGTTGATGAAGTACCACAATCTGATTTTTTCTTTTATGAACTAGAGAATAGCATAAATATAAAAAACCGTACCGTGTCAAATCATAATCAACTGATTTGCTGCATGATTGTATTACAGCGTGATGAGCACCTTGATGACCTCTCGAATCAGCCATCAATGTACAGAAATGCTTGCATGAACAAACAATTCCACACTCAAAATCTGAGGCAAAAATGTTTTCCAAAAGAAATTGATTGGTTAAAAGATAAATATTGTGAACTGGAAGAAACAGGTAAAGACTTAGGAATGGATTTTAAACCTGAACATTTAATTTCTTTTATGATTTTGCGTCAAAGCTTTAAAGAAGAGTACGTCAAAAACACTGTACATTCTCTAATGGATTCTACCCAAATGTCACCTACGGAATGTCTGCTTTTAAAGTATGCCAGCCTGATATCAGCATTCATGCCTTTTTCACGATTGGGTTTTAAAACATACATTCCACTCGAATGTTGCGACACACTTATGACGGTGAATTCTTCCACTTCTTCTAGTAACTACTGGGAACGACATTTATCGCACACCACGAGAATTTTTCTAGTGATTGAAAAAAAAGAAAACGCAAGTGGGATGCAGGTACGAGTAGCTCACGCCATTTTAGCAAAGGCTGTTCTAAGGGAATTTCTTGAAATTGAAAATAAATCGCTAGGAAAAATTATCGAAGAATTTTTAGATTGTCCCCTTTTCGAATCAGCAACTCATGGCAGAAAAGATTTGATCGAAATGACAAAAGAAATGCTTAAGCGCCGTTTGAAGGAGGAATATGACGACGAAGTGAATACTTCCTTTTCGCCACTTATAGAAGAAATACTAGAACATCCTTCTGGATGCAAAACTCAATCAGCAGTTGCAAGTGCTGTTACTGTCCTCAAGAAAGGATTTGAAAAATTTAAAGATCCAATGATTGCCCAAAGTTTGGCCCGATTGCATACAAAACACGAACAATTTGAAGAGGCAATCACATATGCAGAAAAGGCAGTTGAACTCTCACCACCTGTTGGACGCTCGTATTGTACTCATACATTAGGATATGTATTGAAAACAAACTTTATCATGGATACACATCAGTTGGGAAAATTGTCACCGTGGAATTCGACAAAATATCTGAACGTTATATTTCGTGCTCTTGGCTGCTTTCGGGAAGCACAAAAAGACCGATTTACTATGCAAGATCATGACTTCCTATTCTCATATATTGATACGGTATCTACAATAATTATGATTTGCGGTTTCCTCAAAGATTGTGTGGATGTAAGTGACCTTTTTCTTTTAACACAATATTTAACAGACGACGAATACATACCAGATGAAGTAAAAGATTCATGGGATACATTGCATTCCAGTTTCAAATCTCTACAACAAGTCGGTGAAAATGTTTTCGAAAAGTTAGAAGATCATATAAGTTTTAATACAACATACTACGAACATGGCGGTTTTACAGGAAAAATTAAATCTCGATTGCCACACCGATCATGCCGATTATTGTGGTACAAATACCCAATTATGCTTTCGGATTTCGCAACTTACTTTGGCGAAGACAAAGACGACCCTCCACAGCAGTTACGCGGAGAAATGAGGAACAGATGGCACCGTCGACGAATTTTGACACTGCAAGGAAATGTCTATTGGGGTTTCTTCCATACTCAGAACTCATCACAAAATCAAAGCAAAAATAAAAAAGAATTAGATAGATTGACGAAAATTAAGAAACATTTAGATGCGATCACTGAGAAAGATTCTAAGGACATGTCTAACTGTGTGTGTGTCAATGTTGCGCTCGGTTTACTTGGATGTGCTAACAGATTATCAGATGAAGATATTTACAATATGTGCAGGCATATAGTTACATTAGGGAAAGAAAGAGTCGAAATTGGCCATTTCTTCGTCATGATGTTGATGTGGCCTACAAGCATTTTGAAAGTTCCCTACAATGATGACGCGTTTAAGGACTCGCTAAAGTTTTTATCCGACAAAAGCAAAAAGAGCAAACGTCAAATCCTACAAAAACCAAAGACTTCTTTCCCGAAAGAGGGGAAAACTATGCTGTCACCTTCAACCCAGTTTTTCCTGACAAAGCTTGAGGGTTTAAGATCTATTTGTCACAGAAGTGATATATTTTTCAAAGAGAATCACGACTCACAGACTGATCGTGGAGCCAATTTTTGGGATCAACCTAACATACAACAGACATTAAAAACGTTAAGAGGACAGCTTGTGTTTAATGACGGTATATATATACAAGTAGAGAACCCTCATACTCCTGGAAAATATTTTCAAATCAGAAAGACCCGAAGTGGAGGCAGGGAATATCATTCAGAGGAGGAGGTAACGTTCTACGTAGGATTCAGCATGGCGGGACCAATAGCATATGATGTTAAACCCCTTAGATATGACCAGGACATGAGAAATACACTACCACAATCGTCAAACATCGGACATTACAAGAACAAAGACATAACTGAACTGAAAGAAATGCAGAGACGAATCCGACAGATTGAGCAAAAACGGCCAGACCGACGCAACGAAAGAGAGGTATTTATTTGATAACAGAGTTGAATTGTACTACATTTGTATGTTGTTCGTAAAAACCGCAACTCACAATATAAAATAACACATTTCGGATAAGACCGCAAAAATCAAGTAGATACTGAAAATATAGACCTCCTCAGGAAAGCTTACTTTGTTGTTAATGGCATAACCTGTAGCCAACGTCCAGTGTGGCCAGTTTTGTCTTTCCGGAAAGCCAGTGATCAAAATAGCTACGACTAAAAAAGAGAAATATCCCGGCTTCTCAGTGAGAATGAAACATGAACGTAGTGTCGTGAGTCTTATTTCACACATAAAACATTCTTGTCGCGTTGCATTTACACAATTCATCGCAAGCAGTAATCATAAGTATCATAATATGTAAATCGTATGAGATGTTTCTGTTCATAGTGGATTTGAATAAAAAGAAACATGCTTAATAAGGGTATGCCACACTGAGAGGATACAAAAGGGAGAATTTAAACCGAACAAAATACGATATAAATGGATTTAAACGTAAATTAGAATACTTGTTTATAGCGATGATTGAGATGTTGTTTGCAAGATGCCTTTGTTTCAGATTAAATGCCTGTATTTGTCTTAAAAAAGATACTAGGCGTATGAAACGATAATTTGCCTTCTCTCTTTGGCTTGGAAGACTTTTTTGTTAGCTAGAAATTCACCGACAGCTGCCGCTTAAACGTATGGTTACATAGTTAAGGATGTCTTCATTACTGATTTCAAAATGCTGAGAAAACATTGTCTCTTCTCAGTTTCTCGACATAAATTGTTCATAAGGAGTATCAAACTATATAATCTTTGAGAATTTTGTGACAAGAATATCAAAACAAACTTACTTCACTAAATTGTCCCTTTAAGCAAGTGTAATTGTACTGTTAATCCAAGTGAAACTTTCGGTACTTTATCTTTAATTTAAACTTAAACTTAAATTTGTCATTTGCTTACGACCCAATTACTTGCTTCATCTTAATACATTCTATTCTATGCCTGCAGTTTTTGTACCGCCTTCAAAAAGGAGCAAGTATGCAAATGTGGCCATTAATTTGCACGTTCAAATATTTGATATGACCCCAGGTAGATCCCTTTTTTGCTTGTTTGTTTTTTAAAAGTCATTGGAGAAACCAAAATTGAACTGCTACCACATTGCTACATCTTGGACATTCATATTTTAATTCCATTCTTCCAGCAATTTCTTATCGGCATTTTCTCCACATGCATGCGAGAACATTAAGCCTTAGTCCCGCAAAATCGTTAGAAACATAAGCTGATACATTTGTAATTATACTATGCAAATATGAAAACGATGAAATTCAATGTTTCGTTTGCACTATAAGTTATGTATACGTAAAATTATGCTTCCACCATATTACATTTACTAAAACAAAGCCTTATTAAACACATGTAAATATTTTTGTTTTTCAGAAGAAACTTCTGAATGATAAAGAAGATATTCAAACAGTTTTGGATTCTAAGTTGGATAGAGGGCATTCTGACTTTCACTGACGAGGAAGTAGTTACGGTGCTTCTTTTTATTTAGCGATTGATGTCAGAACACAATAACTTAAAATTCGCGATCTATGTTGTTCCTATCGTTCTACATAAAGTGTAAAACTTACTGTCAAACGTGTTCATTGGTCATGCTCCATTAAGAGACCATGTGTGTTAAGTGGCCATTTTCGTTTCCCGTTTAAGTGAGCTCAATATGTATGAAGAGACCATATGTTTGGTAAGGAACCGATTTTTGGACTTCCAGGGTGTGATAATAGTGGATTTATTTATTTAACAAGAAGTTAGGGAGCAACACTTACCTTCCAGAAGAGTGTTGTTTTCCTTTGTGAGAGAGCTTTATTTTTGTCGCGTCTTAGGACCGAGATCAAAGTAAAAACTGTTGTTACTGTAAATGAAAAATGTTTTCTGCACTTGAGCTTGAATTATTTTCAACCGCTCAAAGCAAAAAGTCCTGTACTTAAAGCAACTAGCCATACATCTCCACATCATGCAACTGCCTCGATCTTCACTTGCAACATCAACAAAAAAGGACGGCTTACGGATTTAACTTTTGAATTTAACAGTTATAATTCTATCAATAAAAGATGTTGAAAGCTTACTAACAGATTTTTTAACAAATGTTTTCGAGAAATTTAAGTCGGCAGATGTTTTTTGATATATATCATGTCCTTTTGAATATCGAAGTTATTGATTATGCTCATGAAAATCCTGTGGTTTAATGATACTTGACTTTATATGGTGGATGTCGATGCAGCAATAGCGCTTACCCTCCAAACCATCTGGTCTTTTTTACATTTAAAACTCATTTGTAACACGAATTCCTTAACAAACGTGTTTGCCGTGGATTTGATTTTAGGTTCAAAGATCACTGGTCATAGTCATTTGTGTTAGAAATAGAAAATTAGTTTTTCTGCAAAGCTTATGTTGTTGTTAATCTATAATATCCAAAAACATTGTATTGCTTTCGCACCTGATATCCACGTCAAGTGGGTTTTTTTCGTGCATAGCTTTCCGCTCAAAGGTCGCCTTCTTGTTGGTCTATAACAGTCAAATGGCACACAATGCTAAATATCTTTGGTTTGTCTTTCTTGTTCGCAGGTCAATGTTCAAAGTGAATGCAAATATCAACAAGATAGGTTGCTGTGCGGGAGCGCAAACTCAAGTTTTCCTTAAACTCGCAAAACGGAATGTTTGGGAACGTTCTTCATATCCGAAGGTCTTAAAATACAATCCTCACAATTCTTCAGGTGAAGTTTCTTTATGCACATGCTATATTTTTTTTGTAATGAATTATAATGACTTGCTGTGTGATGGTTTTGTATCGCTAAGTACAATACATGTGATGTGTACAAAATGTAGGTGCAATCATTCCTAGCTGGTAAACTGCTTCAATTTGTATGGTTGGAAAAAATAGTATGGTTAGTGTTGAGAAGGTAGATGGCTCTCGATACATATGATATCAAATGAAATTGCCTTGTCGCGATATTTATATCATATAACATATTACATCTACATAGCCAGGAATGACGAACATGTTTAGTTTTTCCAAGTTTTGTGATTTGTTTATAATATTTATTAAGTATCATTATATTGAGTAATACATTAACCAATTTAGAATGTTTTTGCATCTATTAAAATGTGTATCGTGCAGGACATACCAACCACACTATAATCATTGATCTACGCGGAAATTATGTGATAAATTCTGAGCAATGTTCAGCAAAAGCTGTGTCCGGAAAATATTATTAAGAAAAAAAAAAAGAAAAAAAATAACTTTCAAAATTTGAAGATGTGTTTCTTATAAAAAACACTATCTATCAAAAAGAAAAAGTAGTCCGTACTGTATTTAACACGTATGATAAATTGTAATTAACAAATACTGTAAGCATAGTTATTATAGAATATGTAGGGAACTTTTACCGATTGAAACTATTTGTTTGCTTTGAATATTTGTGTACATATGCCTTAGTTAACAAGGTACACATTATTTTGGTAAAAGTATTAAACTGTATGATAAGTAGTACTGTGTTGATGATACGCAATTTTATTGATTTATTTTCTGCGTTCTTACAGAATTACATAAACGAAGAGATTGTAACGTCTTGTTTGGACAGAAAGTGTCTAATATCACTACAGTCATTGTTATATGTAGTATGCTGAATGCATTGTCATCAACACTATGCTTACTATTTGTGTACAAGTACAATGTATATGTCCATGTCTCACTATGAAATGGGATATGTGATATACCTGTGTATTTTTGCTATATCTCTGCTCTCCCCGTTTGAATATTGATACAATTATATAACTGTAATGTAAATCAAAACGTTTCCTGTGCCTGTATTCATGAAAGCGCTCTCATGCTCGACCTAAAACTTCTTGATATGTGTTCAAGCCATATAGCTTGTTCTGATGTAAAATTAATAGAAATTATCATTGTGCTAATGATTTCGAAGATTTGCTTTCAGTGAGTGTCACGACAGTTTATTTGAGCACAAAATCCATGCTTTAGCATGAAAACGGTTTCATGAATACTTCTTGCCCTGAGGTTTAATACAAACAGACCGATGTGATCGTTCAGTGTATGATTGAATTATTTATGTTAACAACTGTGCTCATGTTGTAGAGAGTTACAATTGAATGATATTATATCTTAAAGTGTAAGAATGTTATCAAACCCTAGATGTGTTTATATGAATCAGGCTTACTGGTTTGGCTTTGAGTGATCTTGACAGGTTGTATAAAAACGTGCATTACCCCTGTTGAATTCCTTTCAGTAGTGTACGGGGATTCGTAAAGTGTTTTGTTTTGATATTTTCTGTTTGGATTGTTAACACGTTCTTTAATGAAAATATGATATTTAATACATGCAGATAAAAAGAGAGTATTGTTATCATGTGTTTTCCTGTTTTCATTTCTAGCTGTCAGGATGACAATTTGAGTGTCATTGAACCAGTTTTTTCTTCCGCAATTCCTAACATTTAACATATTTTATTTCTCAATGACATCACTTGTTTCTTTATATTATGACAGACAGACAAATAGTTTGCTGTCAAAAGTTCGATAGAACTTTCAAATGACTATTTCTTTCCCAGTACTATCATGTAAACATGTATTTGTGTTTTCAATTATGTCTGTCATGGTAACCAGTAAATATTTACGTAAATCAATGAGATTTGAATATTCGGTCCCATTTGACAGGTTTTCACCTAGTTTTTCTCTTAGCTACCATTGAGTGCACTCTTGAACAAACGTTATGTTTCTCCTAAGTATGCATTACAGGTGCATACGCATTATACTTTGATATTAAGTTTGTTTAAGCATGCGCTCTATTGTTTCCAGGAAAAATTATGCAAAATATGTGGGAGTGTATATTTAAATTATGCAAATTCGAACCTGTTACTATGGCAACAATAATTAAAAATAAAATAAACATTTTCATGATAGTATTTGGGAACTATTCAAAATTTTAAAAAAATCAGTCGTTTCAAAGTTCATTTAAAGGTTTGGAATTTTGATGCGCTTTGGGGCCAAAACTCGCCCAAACCATACATAGTCCTTTAGTTTTCCGCTGGGACTAAAAGCTGCAGTTGGGACAATATGTTTTGGATGCTTTGTTGCTTGGTTAGTTTTTATAAACATATGTCTCACCTGTCAAGGGGGCAACGTGTGTCCTCCCTCCGGTGTAAACTATCACTGCATGTATTTTTCCGAAAACGAGAAACAAGAGCTTACAAAAATTGACCGAGTAGCATGCTCTTATAAAATGTTATCAGGTTTGTTCAATGTATTAGCCTTAACCCACAGTCCACGTGCTCAATCTTGTTAATAGGAATTCCAAGTGCCTTTCAAGGTCAGAGTGGAATAACGTTTTCGAAATATTTACCAAGTTCTTTTCAGTTATAACCAACCAAGACATTTGGATCGTAGCATTGTTAAATGAAGGGCTATTTTGTTTTTACAATGAATAATCTTGCTTCGATGTTAAGGTCATAGGAGGCAAGTCAAATATATTAATACCTTAAAATTCAAACAATTTAGAAAAATCTAGTGGGAAATATCTATATTGTGGTTGTTCGTATAAACACGGCGTGGAAAAAACCTTGAAAGATGGGGAGTACCAGAACAGCAAAATGGTAGACAAGGTCATTCCAACTCGACCAGGTAGTAAACAGAGGTCAAAGATAGAACATGTGGGGTAAAGTGACAGTCACTGGATAAGAAATGCCGGTAAGATGGTTTGAAATGGAACTTGTATCTGGGTTGGATGAAAAAGCACCAGAACCGCAATAGAAATGTCGTCTACCAAATTAACTTGTCAAAGTCTTTTTCGTCCACAAAAAGTCTTCCCACAAGAACCACAGATAACCTCGTCGACAAAACAACTCATCCCGAAAATGAATCACTTAATAGAAATAAAAGCATAATAGAAAACAATAAGATAAATAACTTCATATAAGATAAAAATAAATTGCAGAGTGGTACATGTAAACTGTTTAAAGCAGTCTCTGCATGGCCCCAACATAAGTCGCCTCAAGGGGTCAAGTTTCGGGTACAGGCAGTGAACCAGCGATCCAGTAATACGTACAGTTTATGTGCTGGGGCCCCGAATGAGTCACCTCAAGGGGTCAAGTATAGGCACATACAGCGAGCCAACGATCCAATTAAACAAAAAAAATATATAATATAAGTAGAAGTGTTCTCCATTGAATTGGTTCAACGTGAGAATAAACCTCGGCAGTTCTACCAGACTATCTGTAGAAGGATGCTTAGTGTCCCGTGTGATGCCGTCCTCATGTAGGACATTGGTCTAGAGGGATACAACATCCATAGTTACTTAGAGTGCATCTTCATTCAATTTCAACAGATTTTATTCATGAGGGTAATTGAATAGAATCGAACAACAGGCTACGCCTACATCGGTTCTCTTCTACAATGCACATGCATTTGTATGTAGCAGTATATATATTTCTCTAGAAAGATGTGATTAATTCTCCTGCGCAAACTCTTTTTGCCAATATTGGATATGCTAAATCCGGCTGGCTGATTCGTTTTCGTCTAAAAAGTTCAGGGGGGATTGATATTTTCAAAATGGTGGCCAATCCAAACGCATTTTCATGGGGTCTGAGCTTATTCTGGTGGTTGGAATTAGAGAAAAATACCCTTTCATAATCCAGAGTGTAAGATAGGGAAATTCCCCCCTCGGGATTTCCCTATCGTGCACCCCTGAGCATGAAAGAAGCTTATAATATTTATAGTGAAATGAGAAATTGAAACAAGATACAACTTATATACAAGACATATTATATATATACTAGTTTGTATATAACAATTTGTCAATGTGCAAGTTAATGGTATAGGGGAGATAACTCAAATTGGTTTTGTGAATTACAGGTGAGTGTGTGCTGTATCTTGGCCTCACCAGGTTGGTGATTGAATATTGTCCATGGTCCTTCACTAGATCTTCAATGGGAATTTCAAGTTCCACACAATGTGACCCGTAGATAGTTAGATACATAGCTTATATACATATAATAGTAATTTGATATTACAAAAAAAGAGTTATGCCAATCTCGTAGGGTATACCACTTTAATTATTCAACTAATTGTTACTAATTAGAGTTACTTAAAATCTCTATTTAAGTTTGGCTGATATCTCAAAGAGAAATCACAAAGAGTGTATCATGTTACGATAGTCTGTAGTGTTTATAAAGTAGGATGGATGTTTCTCTACATTTGGCTTCAGGTTGAAGTCAATGTAAATGCGGGATGGCCGATCGAGTTAATGATTCCCTGCCTGTGTGGCATTACAGCATAAAAAGTCATCCGTGTCGTTATCAATATTATCTCTAGCAAGTATCCTACTTGTAGCTGCATTGACCTGCTGGGCAAGTTCTGACTTAAGGTCAGAGTCAACTTCACGCTAGAAAGCCAAGTTTTGATATTTGGCGATCGGCCTTCTGGATGAAGTCCTTTTGTTCGTGACGACCAATGCGTAACCTTTATCAGCTGGTTTGATAACCATATCCATGATTTGTTTTAGGGACTGTAGTGGTTTTCGTTTCCCTTTTGCAAGGTTGCCCCCTTTTTTTTTGGGGGGGGGGGGGCTTGATGTTGTGTTATTTTCATAAACCTAGGAGAGACAAAACAAACCTATGTTAACATAGATTTATGAATTCAGTATTGAACTTATCAACAAATATAGGCTATTACAGAATATCGATTGATTTACTTTACTATGTACAGTAAACGCCATGTAGTCTCATTTTGTGCTATTGTATTGATCCGATTTTACTCGTGGACGAAATCGCTGTCAATATTTGACGCCACCATGTCGTTTTAAACTGTCATCAAATGATTACAACGTCAACAAACAATGACTCATTGTAGATGTGTAAGTTTTTATCCCAGATATTACTAGGTGAATAGCACAAAAAAACAATACACAATGATAAATACATTTGATGCAATATCTGAACACAAGGGTTTAACGTATGACTGTTATGCATTACTTGTTGTTTTATCTCGACTTTGATTGACATTTCCAATATGAATGAATTGAAAGAAAGTCAGTTCTACAGGATTTTGCTATCGGACCAAAGTTACGCACTGAAACTGATTGGATTGGTCGATCACAGTTTAAGCGTAACGTACGTAACATGGGACTTATAGTTTCAGAAGAATCTCTTCATGAAATTTTATTCGTCAATGAAAATGAACATGGTTGTTCTGAGCTTTTCTATTTCACAATGATGATGTATTTTGATTAAGATAAAAGTTAAAACGAAAATACGTAACAATTGTTTTGTAGGAAAACATGTATCAAATGTTTAGATTATATTGTAATCTCAAAATATATTTTAGTTATTTGCAATAACAAGGTTGAAATATGTATTGTGATTGAGTCACAACAAAGCAAGTGTAGAAAGGTATTTATATTAAGCAACGTATTTAATATCATACGTTATCATATGCTTTTATTTGGTGACGTACTAACCCTAAAGTCGTTGGACTAAAACGGACTGTAATCTGGTCACACAGGTCTTTGTTCAGATGCCGATCTTGCCTCGGAAATGGAAGTCAACAGTGGCAGTGGTCTGCAGGCAGAAACAAGTCACCGTGTCACTAAAGGTCCAGGAAACCAGTACACATGACCGACACACCAATTGTAGGACTGACTCAAGTAGGACGGCAGATAGAAGCGTCGCTCTCAGACAGCTGAAGGTGAGTATTTATTACTGCCCATTGCTACCTTTAGTCCAGTGCATTACATGTCTATTATTGTTATTGTTTTCAGGATAATCGGGCGTAAAGCACTTTCACACAACTTAATGCATTTCTCCAACATTCTGAATGTCTAAATATGTTTTCAGATTACCTGTGATATGTTTTTATTGTTCGATGTTTTGCGTCATTGATATCCGAAATGAATGACATAATTACCTGTTTGTGGAGTTAAACTTAACTTTGGCTTTCGTTCTGCATTAACTGTATACATTTGGCATTGCTAGTGATTATTTATCGTTGGGGATGGTCAATATGTAGTTTGTTTAAATAAAGGATTGTCTCTATATTTATGAAAAAAAGTTTTTTTAAAAAAAAGGCTATTGAAACGCCCGAAGTGATATATGTAGTTTCTAACATTCATTCCACATTTTAGATACCATCTTGAAGATTATTAATTATTCTTTATGTTGATTAGACAATGGGTGGTTAAAGTTGTTACTATTCGACCAAGTCTTGGTCCTGTGTATCTGAAATAACTTGCAAGTTTAAGTTTAAGTCTGATAAGTATAAATAATTCAACTGAAAGGACCTGTTACAGGAACAAAAGAATTTTGCCCACAAAGCAATTTAATCATTACTGGGTTATGTTTGT